AAGTGTCCTGCCCAGTTCCACTTAAGCGTCGTAGTTCTTTCGATGACGTCTTTAACTCCTGATCTTTGCCTGATTTGTTGGTTTGTTATGTGGTCTCGAAGGCTCACGTTCAGCATTGCACGTTCCATGGCTCGTTGTGTAGCTCTGAGTTTATTCGCAGATTTTTGCGTGAATGTTAAAGTCTCTGCTCCATAAGTTTGTACAGGTAAAACACATTGGTTATAAACCTTTCACTTGAGACACATGTGAATTGAACTTTTTAGAATATGGCTTAATTTGCCAAATGCTGCCCATGTTAGGCCTATTCGCCTCTGTATTTCATGTGTTTGATTGTCTCTGCTTTTTTTTTTGATGATTTCGTGTCCCAGATATTTGTAAGTGTCTGTTTGTTGTATGGTATTATTGTCAATAGTTATATTTCCACTCATTACGAGATTTGTTATAACTTTAGTTTTCTCAAAGTTGATCTTTAATCCTGCTCTTTCAGACAGACTTTTAAACGAATGCATCATAGAAACTGTATCATGTAAGTTATCTGCGATTAATACATCATCTGCAAATCTTAGATGATTTAATCTTTCTCCATCTATATTGATGCCCATATCTTGCCATTGAGTGTTCTTAAATATTGACTCTAGAGCTGCCGTAAACAATTTTGGTGAAATATTGTCTCCTTGTCTAACTCCTGTAGTCTTCGTCTGTGTCATCGTGTAGTCTTATACTTGATGTAGCGTTCTCGTAGATGTTTTTGATTAGTGTCGTGCACCTGTAACCTATTCGGCTTTGATTTAGGGCTTCCAGTATTGTTTCTAACTCTACAGAATCAAAAGCCTTCTCGTAATCGACAAATGCAAGAACCAGTGGTATGTTGTACTCGATGCACTTTTCTATTAAGATCTTTATGATATGCTAATGGTCATTTGTGCCATATCCTGCCCTGAAGCCTGCCTGTTCTTTGGGCTGATAGAAATCAAGTTTAGGTGTTAGCCTCTTTGTTAAGATTTTCATAAAGAGTTTGTACATATGTGTAAAGAGGCTGATGGGTCTATAATTTTCTAATTTAGTAATATCGCCTTTTTTGTGTAACAAGACTATTACTGCATTGTTCCAGTCTTTTGGAATCGTACGCGCATGTAAGCATTTATTAAACAGTTCGCTTACTGATTTTAATAAAATTTCTCCTCCTGCTTTTATTGCCCCGATAACGAGTCCATCATCACCAGGCGATCGATGGTTCTTTATTTCCTTTAAAGCTGCTCTTACTTCTGACACAGTAATGGGCAAAAGTATTTCCGGTCCCTGATTTATGAGAGTCTTTACTCGTGTAGGGAAATTGTCTTGTAGTCTTTGGCTGGTATCGAGGTCTTTATAAAACTCTCTGGTTATTTTCAGAATGTTTTGTTTATCTGTTGTTGCCTTTCCGTCTTTATCTCTCAGCTTGTATGTTTCTTTTTTACTTTGTTTGAGTTTCCTTTTCATTATCTTTAAACCTTTGTTCTCTTCTACTGTTTGAGTAATTACATTAGTATTATATCTTCTTACATCTTTTCTAATTTCCGCTGAAATTCTTTTATTTAGTTTTTTATATTCTTCTTTGTTTCCCTTTTCGTTCTCGCTTAGGTTTCGTCATATTTCTATGAGAGCTTTTGTATTTTTGCTAATCTTTTCACTTTTGGTGTTATTTTTTTTGCAAAATTTGAGTTGTGCGTTTCTCACCGAGTCTGTTATTAATTTATTGCGATCGTCGATACTTAGAGGTTTGGGATTATTACTCTGTAAAGTTTCGGCTATATTTTTTATGTATGCTTCTAGATGATTTGGTGAATTCCAAACTATGCGTTTGCAACTGTTTATCATCTTTGCTCTTTCTTTTTGTAGATTTATCGTTACTCTAGCTCTTACCAGTCTGTGGTCGCTTCCTACTGATAGTTTATTGAGTACAGTGACATCTCGAATAATTTGCTTTTTGTCTGTTATTCTATAATCATATTCGCTCTTAGTTCTTCCGTCTAGACTAGCCCACGCACGTCCAGTTTCTATTCTGTTTCTTCTTAAAAAATATGTTCATTGCATACAGTTTGTGTTGCAGTAGAAAGTTGGTAAGCATTTCGCCTCTTTCGTTTCTTACTCCGATTGCCACTTCTTGTTCGACCTTTTTCCTTTCGAGTTTCCCGTTAAAATCTCCCATTATCAGATTGTAATGAGCCGGTTTCTGCTTTTTTGCTCTTTCGATTTCCTCATAAAAGGCTTCGATAAATTTCATCTTCGTAATCGCTGGTGGGGGCGTATACATGGATTATTTTCAGATTGTATCTCTTATTTAGTCTTAGATTTATATACATACCTCTTGGGAAATGCAGTCAATGCTCTGTATATTTTTATGTAATTTTTTGTGTACTAATAAACCTATTCCTCCAGTTGTCGATTCCGTTTCCCCTTTATAGTGGAATATGTTTCCTGAGTTTAGTTTGACCTGATCTTCACCTCTTCTTTTGACTTCGCTAATTCCTATAATATGCCATTTCACATGTTTGAGTTCTTCCTCCAGTTCTGTCATTTTTTTCATCCTCCTCCTTTTTCATACCTTGGTCGGGAACTAGCGAGCTGCCGGGGATTGAGGGCCGTTTTCTTGAATGTCTGTTCATGCTGAGGGGGTTTTGGCATTTAAACACCACGCTTCCCAGGCGGGTTGGTGAGTTGGCTTGGGAAATTGGTAGGATAGTAGGTATTGGGTAGGAATGGGGTTAGGACATGATTTATCTCCACAGGAGTTGAGTGAGAATCAAGGCTCGCTTAGGGCAGGATCGCATCCCTGAAGTAAGTATATCCTCCACTGGGATTGTGGAAGAGTACCTACCCGGTACCACCTGGGAACAGTTTGGTTTAACAATAAACATAAAAAAAACCAAAACCATAGTTATCAGTAAGAGGAGTAAAGTCATTACAAGGATCCAGATAAAAAAATTAAGATATTGAGCAAGTGGACAAAATAAAATACTTAGGAGTCTGGATTACGAAAGATCTGAATCCGAAATTCGCTCAAGAATAGAGCAATCAATAGCAGCCTTTTTGAAGATGAGGAAATTTCTGATTAACCAGACTCAATCTGCAAATCCGATATCGGATGGTAAAATGTTATAGCCACTCTATTCTTCTTTATGGTGTCGAAGCCTGGACTGTTAATGTTGACTTAATGAGGAAACTGGAAGCTTTTGAGATGTGGCGTTTTAGTAGAATTTTGAAAATACCATGGAACGATCATATTACGAACGAAATGGTGTTGCGCAGAATGGGAAGAAACGGAGAACTTTTGACCACCATTAAAAGGCGAAAGACAGCAAATTTGGGGCACATTCTTAGAAATGATAAGTACGAGTTGTTGCAGCTGATTATGAAGGGTAAAATCGAAGGTAAAGGGGGTACTGGTAGACGACAAATATTCTGGCTGAAAAACATTAGCGACTGGACCGGGTTAAACACACAGACGCTCTTAAGAAAAGCAGAATATAGAGACGAATTGGTTATAGCCAACCTTCATTAGTGGAGACGGCACTAGCAGAAGACGGCTTCAAATTCGATAATAGACATTCGTTAAGTATTTTGATTTAGGAACTCGGTTTTATTGAAGTTTATATATATCATTTGATATTTTGAAATATATAACGAATGTTTTAAAGAATTTTAGTTGTTTTGAATTTGTCTCAAGCTGACCCCCACTACTGCGACTAGGTTGAGACAAAATTGTTTTTAAAAATAATTAATGAAAAAAAATCTAGTTTGTGATTTCGAGACTGATATTTTTGTTTGATTATAAATAGATTCAATAATTGCATTTTGAATTTGAATTAAAAAAATCGGTAATAACCAACTTCATCAAAAATTTGAAAAATGTCTAAACTTTGGCCCACTCTCCCCTACGGTCGAAAGATAAATTTGTACTTTGCACATGCATGAGGCATAATCGTTTAGATAACCCACTATCTTTATCTCAATCCCTCATCTTTGGTCCATGGGTCTCAGTATTTTTCTGTCATTCACCCTGTTTTACTGCACTTAAATTTTGTTTCTTGAACGGTCTTTAATTATTGTCCACTTTTCCTCATTTACTGATGTCAACTTTATTTTTTGTTCTAATATACTGGTTATTTCTTGTTTTGCGGTATCATTTGACATCTTTTCTCTATCAATAGTAACTGTTTGCTTATTAGTCCTTGTAATCTTTTTCAATCTCAGTAACTCAGCCTGTTTCTTTTCCTATCAAAATATTGTGATCTGATGGTACATCTGCACTTGGATGTGTTTTGACTGCTAATACTGAATTTCTGTATCTTTTATTTATACATATGAAATCTATTTCGATATGAACCACCCATTCAGGTGTATCTGCTGGTACCCTTTTTAAGTTTGAAAGCAATATTTGTTTTCAAGAATCTGAAGTGCTTATCTATTTTCTATCAGTTTTATCTTGTTCTCTGTATGTATCTCTTTATCTTGTATCTCTTTATCATATCTAAACTATTTGAGTTTAACCACAAGTTAATACTTTAACTTTAATTTGTGATCTTTAGTTCTCATTTTACATGTACATCAAATAAACAACAAGCACCATCAAATTATTGATGGAATATGGTCTAAAAATATTTAGTTAATATTCCATCCTCCTTTTCCCACTAGTAAAATGCCTATTTTTTTTTTTATTGGAAATTCAGTTTGTACCTTCAATGGTAACTTCGGCTTTACTATATAAAATTATAGAATCTTTTAATCATAATGTGAAGAATTTATTTATTTTCAGAGCTATTGAATATCATATAAGTCATGGACAGTTAATTGATTGTGAAATTGTTCTGGCAAAGTGTGCAGTCTCTTTAAAGGCAAAGGAAATTTCTACTCCAGAGAACTCACATATGTGAAATGAACTTTATACATTCAAAAATAATTATTGCTATATTTTTTAATAAATATAAAATCATAAAAACTAAAAATAAATAACCTTATAAAAATAAACAAAAAATATAGTTCTTTTATTTGTGCAACCACAAATACCACCAACTAGTCCCTCAGGTTAATATATTTCAATACAAATGGTAGTTCTTCCTAAAATTACCTCAGCTACCACTACCAAATTCAGAAATGTCAAGTAATTTGTTGGTGAAATCAAATAACTTCTTCTGTAGCTCTTCACAGTTGGTGGGAGCACTAGCAGGAACTATTTTGCAGTTACTGATGTAAGTACCACCTTTTTCTTCAATGTATGGTGACAGGCAAGCATATATAATGGGTGTTGCACCTTTTTCAGGACTCTATAAATAAAAAAAAATCGTAATAAATAATTGTCCGAAAGTGTAAATTTTACTAATGATTGTGAAAATGTATTAAGATATAATAGTGTTCTACATACTTTGAACACTAAGGCAGGTATCAGAGGAGCACACTTTTTCAAATTTGTTCCATTGAACAAATCAGTATTGACAAGTCCAGGATGAACTGCATGAACCTGCACATTTACTTTTTGTTTCTCAAGGATTGCATCCAAATATTTTGTAAACAACACCTGGGCCATTTTTGACTGTGCATAAGCAACACCAGATATATAGTGATGCCTGAAAATATAAACATATAGCTTTAGGATTTATTAAGAAACTCTAACACTGTTGAAAATTAATGTTACATGTATTATATCATCTATACAATGCCATAACCACTAATATGCAAAATTGAAAATTTTAAATAAAGTATAGTAAAATAACAAAATTCTAGGCACTAGTTTCTGAGAAATGATAATTGAGTTTTAATAATAACACTGTTGTCAAATTGTAATTACAGATAATTTATCAACTTCTATATTAATAATTCATATAGAGTCAAATAATACCTAACTTGTTACAGTGTCTTTTACAACATGGCAACACTGACATGTAGAAAAGAACAATAGATAATCTAAGCCACAAGTTAGAGAGAGATATATCACTCAGTGTGGATGTTCACTATACACTCAGTAGCATATCATTTACATTGTTAATTGAATATTAAAAATTTTAAAATTCCTTTATAAAAGGTATAATAATAAAAACCCTATCAGTCTACATCATAGAACATTTTTGGAATTAATATTGCATCATCAGTGCTATTGGGTACATGTTTGAAGCCATTAAATATATGGGTAAAAACCCTTTAAACATTGTTAGATTAAATTTGAAGACTTGATACATATATGTTATAAGAGGTATTAAATATATATACCCTACCTGTTATTAATATCTTCAAAGTTTATATCTCCAACAACAAAATGAGCACAAGAAGAAACATTAACAATTCTTGCTTTCTTCTCTTTTGTGCCACCTGCCTTAAGAAGTGGTAGCAGCAAATGTGTCAATAAAAAGTGTCCTAAGTAATTTGTAGAAAACTGAGATTCATAGCCATCTCTGGTTTCAATGTAGGGTCCAAACATTATTCCAGCTACAACAGAATTAAAGTGTCAAGCAAACATATTGAGGCTGATATGGATGAAATAATACAGTGTACTTAAGTGTTGAAAAATGAGCAAAAATTAAACTCAATTTTCTTGACATTTGGATATTATTGTAAAAATATGTATTTAACCTACCATTATTGATTAAGTAATGTACTACTGAGTATTTTTCTTTAACAGATTTAGCAAAATTTCTTACTGAGTCCATAACACTTATATCTAAATTAATAATGTCAATGTTTCCAGTTTTAATCCCTTCATCTCTAAAATTTTGAAGTAACAACTCTCCTTGTTTTATATTTCTACAACCTAAAAAAATAATTTATATGAAAATGTTATAACTACAATATACAATACTTATATTATCAGAAAATAGCAAGAAAAGAAGCTCACAGTGTCATTATTGTTCCAATAACACACATAAAAAATGATCATATTATAGGTCTAAAATACTAAATCTGCACATAAATAATAAATAAATAAATAAAGCAAATACTGACCCACAATTACATTAATATCACATTTCAATAACATTTTTATAACTTCCACACCAATTCCTCTAGTACCTCCAGTGATCACAGCATTTCTACCAGTCTCTATAGGCAAATCTATGAAGAATAAAATTCTTTATATATTGGGACAATAATTAATGAAGATTTTCTATTTCACTTAAATTTATAAGTAAGAACTTTAGATACTTAGTTGTAAAATATGTGTACAATCAAATAAAATATTTATATTTGTTAAATAAAAATGTGAAAGCTTCTTACCAATTTTATTACTTCCCCTCATAATGAAATCCTGAACAATTCCTCTAGATCCAATATAATTATATATCATCTCATATTTAGCTTCTTCTAGTAGAGTATTTAGCGGTTTTTTTGAACGTATTATCGCTATGATAGTAACCAAAATTATAATAGAACATCCTACTAAAAAGATCATATTGATTTTAATAAGAATTTCTTCATTTGTGTCACCACAACTCTCATTAACACTGTTTGGAAATACAAAACTTTCACTTTATTAAGGATAAGAAACTTGAAAGCAGAGAAAAGAGAAACGTTTGATCATGGTTCGTGGGAGAGGCATACGATTTTAAATGAGCTTTTATTTATAATAAAAATTAACCTTTAAAATAGTTGTATAAAGATGAGCCTTATCTATGACCCATTTTAATTCAAATAATTTGAAAATCATCTTGATTCTTGCTTGACTTTTAAAAAATGAACGTGTTCTTTTCATCTAATCTAATCTGTCTGTAAAATCTGCAATTTCACAATGGTCTGTTAGTTTAGTTTCCACACGTGGTTTATATATTATACGTCATTGGGTTTATTTCACAGAATAAGATTCAATTATTTCTTATTCTGTGCTTTCACCTAGTCACAGAATACTCGAGTGTTCAGTCACAGAGTTAACTTGCTTGCATATTTCAAGACATAGGCGGGTAAGGCGGGTAGTTTAGGATTACAAAAATAAAAATATGATAGACACTACCATACGTCATTGGACACCATGATACTATAACAAACAAGCTCACTTGCTGTTCTAATTTTGATCGACTTTGCGCATGTCGTCATGGTGAGACAAAGCCATTGGACTTGTTTGTATCATATTTTAACGATGCAACATATGAAAACGTTGTTCTATTACTGTAATAAACAAGCGTCGATTCATACCTTGTTACAATTCGTCTTCGATGCTCGCGCATCCATGTAATGTCAAATATTGTATAAGGTTATACCAGATTTTATTTGTTAATATTTTGAAATTACAAGCTACTTAAGGATTTCATTCGTTTAAATCAGAGTCAAAACGATAATGATAGAAAGTTTAGTATGCAATTAAAAATATTGCCTAGATTTTACTAGAGCATAGAGCTTCAGTGAAAACGCGCCATCGGATTCTATTTTGCGCTAAGGCCTTCACCTCATTCCAAGAATTTCCTTGGCCTTTTATCTCGTCCATAATGGATCTTCTCCAAATTTGTACTGGGCGACCTCTTTTTCTTTTTCCTTGGGGATTCCACTCTAGGGCAGTCTTTGCGATACTGGAACTATTTTTTCGGAGTGTGTGACCGATCCAGCCCCACTTTCTGGACTTAATTTCATTTTGTACCTTCTTTTGTTCGGTTAGGTGTAGCCGATCTTCGTTTCTGATGGTGTTAGGCCAGAATACACGAACAATCCTTCGTAGACATTTGTTAACAAAGATCTGCAGTTTGTCTGTGAGGGTGTTTGTCACTTTCCAGGTTTCACATCCGTAGAGTAGAACAGACATGACATTTGATCGGAATATTCGGATTTTTGTCCTTGTAGTATACTCGCCAGATCTCCAAACAGGGTTGAGCGTGCTGAAAGCTTGTTGGGCTTTTCGTATACTCATACGAATATCGTCTTCTGTACCTCCGTTTTCTGTTATGACACTTCCAAGATACGTATAGTTTTCCACATTTTCAATCTGCATATTGTCGATAGTAAATAGCGTGTTGTTCCTTGCATTTATTCTCATGGACTTGGTTTTACTAATATTGATTTTCAAACCTATTTTATTGGCTTCAGTGGAAAGTGTTTCCAATTGGCAAGCCAGATCTTGGAACCTTTGACCTAATAGGCAGATATCATCCGCGTATTCTAGATCGCTTAGCGTATGGTTAACGTCCATTGTATCCCTCTTGTGTCGGAGTCTAGTTTGGAGAGAACATAGTCTCATAGTCTATAGCTATGTTAAAAAGAAACAGAAAGCACGCATCCCTGTCTAACTCCAGTAAGTACGTCGAATTCGTCACTGTTGATCCCATTGTGTGTAACGCTGCATTTCGCATCAGTATATAGTGACTTTATAATAGAAATTATTTTTTGCGGGATGTTTCTTAGCTCTAAAATTTTCCATACAGCAGGGTGAGACAAGCTATGAAAGGCACGTTCAAGTTCCCACTATCCCTTTATATTATTTTTCAATCAGGTTTGAACATTAAGTTCCGATCTTAGTTTGAAGCCCCCTGGCAGACATTCCAGTCAGGGTTTTAGTGGGCCCAAAAGGGTGGCCAAAGTTCGTGGAAGCGAAGATACTTAGGTCACCCGAGCTGACCCTCACACCTATCATCATGACGACTGATCTTTTCAGGAGAATTAAAGAAATAAACTGCCACATTCCAAATCTATTGAAGGAAGTCTGTCGGGTTCCCTAGTATTAAATATATATTGGGATTCGATATTGCATTAAATTTTTTCTTAAAAGAAAAAACATATTTTGCTTTTTGGGTTAGGCTTTGTCAAAAAAGACAACACATTAGAAATTATGAAAACTATATCGGTATGTTCATCTAATAAAGAACAACCCACGAGCCGACTTCTTAAAGAAAAAAGAACAAAATGTGAAATTTGTTTTAAGCAACTTTTCCGTAGGTCATTAAACAAACACATGTTAGTTTACACAGGAGAAAAACCTTACAAGTGTGAAATTTGTTTTAAACAGTTCACTACGTCCTTTATCTTGATAACACATTCGAGATTGCACACTGGAGAACAACCTTATAAGTGTGAAATTTGTTTTAAGGGGTTTTCTCAGAAAATTAGTTTAAAAACACATTTTAAATTGCACATTGGAGAAAGACCTTACAAGTGTGCAATTTGTTTTAAGCTGTTTACTCATAAAAATTCTTTGAATGATCACAAACTGGTTCACACTGAAAAAAGTCCTTACAAGTGCGAGGTTTGTTTAAAGCTGTTTTCACAGAAAAGTAAGTTGAAATCACATTTTTAGAATGCACACTGGAGAACAACCTTATAAGTGTGAAATTTGTTTTAAGCTGTTTACTCAGAACAGTTCTTTGGGTCGACATAAAATAATTCACACTGGAAAAAATCCTTACAAGTGCGATATTTGTTTTAAGCAGTTTTATCAGAAAAGTAATTTGAAAACACATTTTAGATTGCACACAGGAGAACAACCTTACAAGTGCGATATTTGTTTTAAGACGTTTACTCATAAAAATTCTTTGGTTGATCACAAAATACTTCATGCTGGAGAAAATCCTTTATAAGTGCGAAATTTGTTTTGTGCAGTTTTCTCAGAAAAAAAGTTTGAAAAAAAAACATTTATAAGATTGCACACTGTAGGAAATCTTTAGAAATGTGAAAATTGTTTTAAGCAGTTTACTCAGAAAACTTCTTTGGATACAAAATAGTTCACACTGGAGAAAGTTCTCAGAAGTGCGATATTTGTTTAAAGCAATTTTCTCAGAAAAATAATTTGAAAACAAATTTTAGATTGCACATTGCGACAAAGCTTAAGTGCAACCTTATACCTTATAATGTAATTTTTAGTGATAATACTGCGTATTAGTGCGTATAGCAATCAGTATTCATAAACAAATAACGGCAGCAAAAATGGTCGCGTTACACAGTGGACTACTTCGTTCTGAAACATGGACAGAAAAAAGCCCGTCAATTTGTCGAAACCGAAGTGGTGCCAGAGATTTGTTTTATCTCATGAACTACATAATTATGCTGTTAACAGAGCCATATAGCGAAGCGAAGACAATTTTGTAGCCAATGATTTAAAATTTTGGTTTTATGCAATTAGGTTAACTTGCACTTAGTTTTAAATCAAAATAATTGATATTGATATTGATACCAATGAATATAGATTGGTGAGTGTAAAGCTACCGTCGTACATACGTGCCATCTACATACGATTTCATAGAACTAAAATTCGAATGCGAACTTTTTTTTCTTTTGATGTCTAGGATTTGAAGCGAGTCATCTAGCCCACTATTCGCATAGTACAATTAAAATTCAAGAAATTTTCATAATACTCAACCGTGATATTTGTTCTAATCAGTTTTCTTAGAAAGGTAATTTTGAAAGACATTTATGCCTGGTTGCACCAACAGATCTTAAGCTTAAGACGTGCCTTAGGTAGGCCTCAGCTCAGACTGATCGACCGACCACGACCAAACCGTCCGACGGCGATCAACCAAATTTTGTATTTTAACCAGGCATTAAGAACTCACATTAGATAAAAACCATGCAAAGGTGAAATTTGTTTCAAATTATTTTTACAAATGGTCATGCAAATCACTTATTGAATAAGTACCCGGATTTAATTTGTTTTTTAATTATATTTTGTCTTAATTAAAGAATATCATCAAGTTTTAGATTCAATTTCAGATTTGTTTGATGAAAAATCTAAAACAGATAATTGTATTGAAAAGACAATAAATTCATTAAAGTAATAACCATTTTGTACCAATGTAACATAATTTCGTTATATACCAAAACCTGCGAATTGTTAAAATCCAGAGAAATCGAAAAGTTTGTATTGACTTATGGTGGGACTAAAGTTACAAGAAGTTTCGATTCGTTCAACCTCTCGTGCTATTTTTTGGTACTAAATCCAATATAAATTGTCAGTTTTTACATCTAACTAAAATTCTACTGCTCAGCTCGAATAGCAAAATAACCACTAAAATATCGTTAAAAGTTTATGGAAAAAATTAATATCAGAGTTATTTTTTGGGAGCTGATAACCTTGCGACAACTGTTAAGTTGGTCAAAAATACTATTATAATAACAATGTTTTTCTGAAAACCAAAACAATATTAGGAATATATTTTGTAACAAAAAAATTTGTAGACGATATTTATAGACCGTGGTCAGGATAATTTGTAGAGGTAGAGTTACAATTAGTTTAGAAGGAAGAATTTTTTTACAAGTGGAAATGTAGCAAATTTTTCAAGCATATTGTTAACTGCTCAATTACTGATCGTACTTAGGTATATTTGTTTGGACCATGGACGTATAAACACAGATGGACTCAGTTATTTACATAAAATTGTGAAGTCAAAATTATTTGAATAGGTCACATTCTCAGCACTTTCAGCTGTTGTCACCTTTTGTTTTAAAATTTCTTATTCGCGAGTCGCTGAAAATATTACTCCGTATTTTATACTCTATAGGTGCTATCAAACCAAAATAATAATTTATTGGTTCGATTAATATATTTAATTGTAATCAAAATATCAAGTGTGCACATACATTATCATTTAATAATAGCGTATAATAGATATCAATCAATTATTTTTTATGTAGAAGCACTGAAAACTATTTATAAATGGCAACGGTTGTTTACATTTCTCTGTCTTATGGATCTACGTCAAACTTCAAATGCTGTTCCATGTTTGTTTACTTTTTAGAGTAAATGAGAAAAAAGTTATTTTTCGATATTTTGGCTGTATTTTGAGTGATATTTGTGAAAAGTGAAATAAAATAAACGAAATATTTACATCCCGATCTCTCATTTCATTTGTAAGTACATACAATTTACATTATTTAAGATGAGGAAATGAGGAAGCGTGTTTGTTTACATTTTAATAGGCGTACCATTGGGTTTATTCATGTTCATTAATGTATTGAATAAGATATAAGTTCATTAAAATTGTAGACATTTATAAATTGTAAGTAGACATCATCTGATTAAAAAAGATCGGTTTAGTACCTTTTTAATTTAATATTTCTCATGGATACAAATAAATTAGTGAAATGAATAAAACTCATTTATTTTTCTATGTAGGTTTCCAAATAATATTGACGATCGAACTATTTGGGTAGCAAATTAAGGAGAAAACATAAAGATTTTTTATTGTAGCATTATTTTGATACTATTAATAAATTAACTTGAATTCAACTATATTTATTTGTATTAATTTATAAGCCAATAAAATTGTATTTTAATTTTTCTATAAAGACGTGATTTGTTAATAGTTTTTTTGTTAAAAAAACTCTCGTTTTTTTTTTAATTCTTTGAACGTGTTTTTATACATTATTGCTACTTCCAATTTTGAAAATCTGAATAATTACGCGCGAGTAAAAATTCAAGCACGCTTAGGCTCATCGCGAAAGCATCACATTCTATCGAAGCTTCAAAACATTGTGTGTTAAAGGTATCTTATTGCTATGTCCATCTATGTTTATACTTCCATGGTTTGGACATTAATAAAAAAATATCAGAATGATCACGACAATGTCCAGTGTGTCTTTATAACATTATAAACATCTCTCGTGATTGTAACCTGTCGTTAGTTTTATTAAGAATTGCAATTAGTATTGCTGATCCAAAATCTTTAACGTTGGAAATGTTAAAGTTGTAAAGCATATTTTTATGACAAGCTCCTATCCTGTATAACCCTATAACGCTCCCGAAGTCAAAGTTTTTGCATAATTTTAAAAGTGACATTTGACAGGATCAAGAACTAGCACAATTGTGTCATACAGTAGCTCACAGGTAACTAGCACAGTTGTGATAATGAAACCAATTTGAGAAAAATGAAACCAAACTTATTGAATAAAGTTATTTGCAATGAAATTGAACAAAACAGTTTTATTTGTTACTTAAACAAAGATAAACATCACACTTACTACACCTTATTCTTGATCTACTTTGACAGGTTTCTAGACGACATGTGTTAGGATTTTTTGATTTTCGTGAACAGAGAAAAGGGTATCATTTGTTCATCAATTGAAAATGACGTCCTACGTTAATCTTTTCAGTTATCGATAAATTATCTACAACTGAAAGTTTGTGCGTAATTTGTAAAATCTGTCTCGATTCATTACATCAGCTATGATCGGTAGTCGGTACTTTACACTCCAGTAAAGGTGTATTCTGACCGTATGCATACCAAAAGGTTTTATTTCCTTGCAAATAGTATTGCGAAGTTAGTTGTGCACCAATTTCAAAAAAATCTTTATCTAAATATCGACTGAAATAACCAAATGGACTCAAAACGTCGTTGTCCCATTGGATTCTTCCGAAATATTCTTGCTTGCGAATAATTTTTGCTCATAGAAGATTCAGGATTAGAGAAATATGTGAATTACTCCAAATTATATTGGAAGGTAAAGTGCAGGTCAAAATATCAAATGGAAGATGCCAGAACTCGTGGCTGAAAGACCTGAGGAGATTGCAAAGCTAGAATTGCCATTTGAATCGCCAACCTTCGAAAGGAGATGGCCCAATAAAAAAAATCAATAAATTATGGGTACTTAACTAGACAGGAGAATACCAAAAGTATATATTAACGAAAAATTTAGTATGTTTAATCAGTGCTGATAAGGAATACGAAGACAATATGTAAGAATGAAATCAATGTAACGTAATATTGAACCAATTTTTGATTATTTATTTAAGAAAAGTAATTTTTAATACACGCGGTTTTATATTACAGTAATTTAATAAAAACAAAATCACAGTCTGCTTATTCAGATAGCTAAAGTTAAAAAGGATTAAGATAACCGTTACGATAATCAACTAGACAGTGGTAGTATAGGTCTGTAGTTCAAACAATAAAAGCAAAAGTATATTTTTCACTGGAAAACTCAGCAAGATAGAGAATGTTGAAAATTGAGAAATATTCACCCAGTAAAATTTTTATCTAACGCCTCTGGTTGTTTGCTGTCAAAAGAATTGCGTTCATATTTCTACTCCGCGGTATTGGACATCTTTTTCTTTCTTAAAATAGACAATACTACAGTTATCTCTATTGTATTTAAGACGTTTTAGTGAACTTCATTTCTGGTATTTGACAATGACATGTAAAATAATTGTCTATTTTCCATGTCAATTTGGATGATTCGTCCAAGTTCATCAAGTTCTTGTTTTGTCTCGATTTGATTCGTTTTGTTGGCAGTACATTTTATAATTCGAGTTGGAATATTTAATTAATGTGATTAGAAAGTGTATAGTTTTAGAACTGCCCATCATTTACTTAAATTTCTTTAATAGACTCATTGTTTTAATATAGTTTGGTCAGTTAGTTAATAAAGTGTAATTAAAAATGAGTGAGACATCAAATCCTACTGCACTACCTAGAAGTTTAAATTATGAAGCATTAAAGGCTCATATAATTACGCACAAAATAAATTGTGGCCTATGGTTAATTAGGGTCATAGGCATTGTCTGCTCCATAGCTTACTTCATTCCAATATTTGGGTAAGTACACCTGGCTTTCACTATTCATTTTAATACATTGAATATTATATTTATCCTCAGGCGCTTTTAAATTATAAAAATATGTTATTAACTGACTATACTAGAAGTTATACTGATATACTAATCAATTTCTTTAGGTACCAAAGTAGTTTTCATAAATTTTTAAACTCTCCCAGTAATTCAACTTGAATAGGTTGTTGTACCTAATTTGGACCTATTTTATGGATTAGAGTCGTTAGAGGGTCAAAGGTATCATGTTTATTGAGATTCACTAACAAAATGAGAATTTGGTTACCTATACTGTTATATATTTAAAATTTCATATATAATTTTAGTATAAATAAGTTTTTAATGACAATTGTCATTATTAGATAAGCTAAACATTGGGTAAAATACTACAGTGCAGGTATTTTAATATAGAATGGATTAAAATCACATTTTCACAAATACATACAAGAATAATGAGTAAGCACAGTATATACAATCCATAAAATGTTTTTCTTTTTTGTCTGGTACTGGAAACACATTCACTATTAAATAGTATAGTTTATTATAAGACAGTATATTAAGAGTATTAATAGTGACTGATTCAGTATATTATTTTATAGTATTGATGTTATAAGACAACATTTTGACAAATTTGGGTCAATTACTGTGAAATCACTTTCATAACATACTGATATTGATTTTCTCATTATCTTAAATAGTTAAAGATTTTACACTGAATATGCTGTATGTATCCAAAAATTCACAATAACTATATATAATCCACATATCACCTTCTTTTTAAAGACTAATTCCATGCACCTCAGTGCCAAACATAATTACATATTTGAATAAAAAAATTCAGGTTTTCACAAAATTACTACTTGTTTCTTTACTTGTATTTCGGATCTTAGTATGTACCAGATTCATAACATGATATCACATTTGAGCAAATATGATATCCTATTTCACTGTATTTTTTCTTTATGAGATGCTCAATCAGAGGTTACATATCGGAGCTGGTACTTTGAACTAGTTTGTTCATGAACTACACATGCCCATTTCACAGACTCAAACAATAGAGTAGAGTAGAGTAAATTTTTATTTGCATAGATTTTTAAACATAATTGAGCAAATAATGTCTTATTATTAATTACACTTTAACAAAATATAATTTGAGATCACACATTTAAAATATATTAACATTAAAAATTAAATATACTGGTCAAGGAGAACAATAGGCCAGGCACTCCGCTAACACAGGCATACAAAGGACTTCCCTGTTATAGACAATCTGTGAAGTGGCAAATTCAAATTAAGGCTTCTTGTATTATATTCATGATTGGGAAGCAGGTGATCAAACAAAGAAAAATTTTTAAAATGGAACATAATACATTCAAATATATAGATGGCTGAGAAAGTGAGTATATTGAGTGATTTGAAGTGACCTCTATAGGATTCTCCTAACCTAAGAGTTAAGCTATCTACTGCAGCATCCCAGAAGATTACTCCATATCGCATAACAGAATAAAAGTTTGCATAATATACTGATAGTAAAATCCCCTGGTCTAGATAGCTCTTTAACACTCTTAATGAGTAGCAGGCTCTATTCAGCTTTTTTGTTGTATTTTGTATTTGTTCCCCCCAAGTCAGATACTGGTCAATATGAATACCAAGAAATTTAACTGATCTATCCTTGTTGTGATTCCGTGTTGTATTTTGTATTTGTTCCTCCCAATTCAGATACTGGTCAATATGAATACCAAGAAATTTAACTGATCTAGCAAGTTCCGTGTTGTGATAGAAAATTAATTGTATCTGGAAACTGTTCTCGTGACTGGCTGGTTCTAAAGTAGACAAAAACTGTCTTATCAGTATTAAGCAACAACTTTTTTCCAATGAACCACTGTTTAACCTTGCTTAGAATTTATTCTGCCACCGTGAGGAGTGTTTCTAAAGTTTTTTCCCAAAAAAGCACATTTGAGCCATCAGCAAAATTTACCAGGTTTGAGGAACTACTTACCACCGCATTTGGAAAGTTGTTTATGTAGGCCAAAAAGAGAAAAGGCCCCAGGACACTCCCCAGTGGTATACCCATCGAGCAAAAAGACAAAAGAGGGAATGTAAAGGTAGTGGGGACAAAAATATTGTTAGACAGGAAGTGCCATCTTAAGAGGCACTTTAAACAAGGAAAGACAGTCTCTTTCCTTGTTTAAGAAATCAAATTTAGTTTGGTTATGTTATTGTTTGTCCCAACTGTCACATGAAATTTTATTTATATTGAAGTTTTTTACCAATTGTGTCACATTTTAGACTATTATCATTAATATTTAATTAAAACTTTCTCATCTGAAAAATATTTTATAGCTATTGTTAATAAGTGTCGGAAAATTTAAATTTAGCGCCTTTGCATTTCCAGATATGTCCGCCATTAGAGGCCACTTTTTTGGTTTCCTTTATATAACGATTAGACCTCTTTTGTCTATTTAACCTCTTGTCTTTTTGCTGGATGGGTATACCTAATTTTATAAATTGATCGGTTCAGAGTAAAAATTACATCCCTTTTTCTCCAGGCATACCTTTTGAGATCAATCTGTGAGAAATGATTGTATCCATTTTAATGCTAGTCCCTGTATTCCATAAAAATGTATTTTTTGTAATAAAAGAACATATTCTAGGCTATTGAAAGCCTGAGATAGGTCCAAAAAAGCACCTAGTGTTTTCATCTTTGCCTTCAGTTTTTCTAAAATTTCTGATATAAAATCATAGGTAGCTGTCTCAACAGATCTCCCTGCAAGAAAACCATGCTGTGAACTACTAAAAAGTTGCTTGTAGTAAAAAAGTTTTGTAGTCTGAAATATATTGCTTTTTCAAATATTTTTGAGAATGATGGAAGAAGGCTTATAGTTCTCCGTCTTAGTAACATTACCTTTTTTATGGCTTGACTGCCAGTTTGAAACTTTGAGGAAATTTACTTTGCCTGAAAGAAGCAATAACTATAAAAGAAAGAGGAGGAGAAATCTCTGATGAAACATATTTAATTAAGTTGGTTGATATTTCATCATAACTAGAGCTATGCTTGTTTTTAAGTTATTTATTATGTGACTTATTTCTTTCTCTGAAACAGGTGTTAAAAACATGCAATGATTAGTTTGTTCAATATTAATTTGAAAATTTTTTACACGCTTTATTTTCTTTACAGCTTCTGGCGCTGCATTTGCCATAAATTGATTTATTTCGTTAGAAAGCACCTCAGGGTCACCATCCACACAGAAAATACCTTGAGTTTTGAAATTACCCTTAATCTTTTTTACCAATTGCTAAGCAATTTTAATTTTATTTTCGATATTTTTAATTCGTTCTTTATAACAATTTTTTCGAGGTTGAGTGAGTAAAGAATTGTATTTGCGTTTTTCTGTCCTGTAAATATCTTTATAATCAACATTATTGGTAGAGAGTGTAAACAAAACATCAAGCCTAGATTTACAATGTTTTATATCATCATTTTTAAAGTACTTTTGTGATTTTTTTTATTTGCTGTATTTGCTTATCTCTTTGAGTGGAAAACATTGTATAAAAATTTTCTGAGCTATACTCATAAAAACATCATACTGATTAAGTATCTACTTCTAATGTCTCAAAAACAGGTACCCAGTCTACATTCCCTAACATGAATTTAAAAAAATGTTTATTCTCCTTGTTAAATATTCGTTTTTTTTATTATATTTGACTCAAATTCATTTCATTCAAATTTTACCTTTTGAGCATACAATAGCACTCTACTGATCTCAATATTAATGAATCTCTTAGAAAAATGAAATAAATGCATAATTATCCAAACCCTAGTTATTACATTGTTGGACTCTTATTTTGAGTAAAGGCATGTCCCTTTTATATACCGATTATCTACAATACAGTAGTATCGTGAGTAATTCCAACTTGTTTTTACAGCTTTATGAGTGATGCTTTATTTAATTTAAATAACAACAAAGAATAAGAATATATGATAATTATATTGTTGGAGATAAACAATCAGTTTGACAAATTTGAAGTAACATCAGATTTTATTTTTTTTTTCATACTGAAGCATGAGGCAAATATATGCAAACAGAACACAACGCAAGTAATCATGCACCATTTACTATTGTTCTGCAGAAAAATAGGTTTATCATGTTTTTAGTCAGGAGCAATTTCTTCCTTGTTTTCCTTCAGTTTTGCTTACCATTATGAAATGGAGACAATTAGCTTTAAATCTGATATATTTCTCGTTAATTAATACTAATCGCAATTCATATCTAAATTGTCTTCATTCACTGAATCATCTCCTATATTAATTATCACCGGTTCAATATCTTCCTGCAAATTGTCCACCATAAACATTTTTTCTTCTACTTTCTTGAATGGTTCATATAATTATACCACTGCTCTTGAGATACGCGTTGACACATAGCTTTTCATTTGACTCCACACCATCTCAATCAGGTTAGCTCGCAACGGTAAGACGGCAGTCTCAAAATCTTAACTCCCATATTTTTCCGTAATTATTTCAATTATGTTCTTGTCGTACTCCTTCCAGTAATTCAATTTTTAGGTAATTTTCCTCGACGAAAATGTTCTTTTCGATTAGCCAATCCTTGATTTGCCTTTTGTTCCACAATTTTTACAGGAAATCAAATTTGCGAGAGTGGTATGACGCGTTATCCAAAACGACAACGTTTCCTTTGTCTTTCGGCAAGTTTGGAATGAACGTCTTCTTCTAAGAAAGTTAATTCGGCCCAAGCTACAAAACCAGTTTCGCTTCCAGCATGAAGAAGAACAAACCGAGGACCTCTTTGGGTTAGAGCTTTCAGTCCAGTAGAGAGCCTTTGAAGGCATTTCGTGGATTCTTGATCGTTGTGTCGCCCCATTCCTTTTTGACTGAAGCACCGACGTCAGTCCATGACGCTTCCTCAATGTTTTTATTTGTCTGAGGTTCTTGTGTCACCAGGATATATCTTTTCATTCCATCATTATCG